TTTTTGGAAATTGAATTATTGAATTCCAGATATGTTAAAAAAATAGAGAATTCAAATGGAGAATTATGAGCTCATTATTTAGTAAACAATGAGACCCAAAGTATAATTGTTTAGAAGGATGCTAATCACTTTCATCTGAAAGAAAGAGACTCTGAGTCCATCAGTGGCAATGCCTGGAAAATGTGCTAATAAATACTGAAAAAAGAAAATAATATTTATTTTGGAAAACTTTACCATGCACTATGTATCAGCAACAGTTTCTCAAGAAAGAAAGTAGCATGCTTAAGATAACACACACACACACATATATATATATGACGTTTTTCAAATGTCTTTCTTTTCATGGATCATTTGAAAATTATTCTTGGGATTCCAATTCTGCAATTCAAAGTACATTATTCCTATTTTTATTTTACAATCCTAAAAGATAAAAATATATATATTTAAAACCAATGAATTATGATTAACACAAGCCATAGACCCAGGCCTTGTTATTCTGTTAAGACTCCAATCTAGAATTACTTTATCAGAATGAATGATTAGATATTAAATGCAAAGATGAATACTCATATTTTCAACTGTTTTACAACCTTACTTGCAATGACAGTTTGAGAAATTCTGTTCTAAAGTTGCATTCACATTATTTTAAATTCCATTTTCTCTGATTATTGTTAGAGATTTTTTTTTTTTTAATTTGATTTATATGCCGCCCTTCTCTGGAGACTCAGGGCGGCTTACAATGCGTTAAGCAATAGCCTTCATACTTTTGTATATTTATACAAAGTCATCTTATTGCCCCCACAAACTGGGTCCTCATTTAACCTACCTTAGAAAGGATGGAAGGCTGAGTCAACCTTGAGCCTGGTAAGATTTGAACCTGCAGAAATTGCAGGCAGCTGTGTTAATTACAGGGTGCATTAAACCACTGTACTACCAAGGCTTTCAAGTTCTACTTTGTTAAGAGGAGAATGAATTGTTTCCTATTCTTCCAAAAGACCTAAAATTATCCCTCAAATGAAACTGGAAAGTAAAGAAAATCATGGACTATAAGCAAAATATATCAAATAGCATACCTGTATGTATTCTCACATGATTCTTATAGTTAGTTGCACTGGCAAATGCCCTTCCACATCCTGGCTCTGTACAATAATATGGTCTTTCCCCTGTATGTGTCCTGATATGAACCTTTCTGATGTTAGATGTTGTAAATGACCTACCACATCCTTCAAAGGGACACTTGAAGGGTCTTTCACCTAAAAAAAGTGAGATAAACAAATTACAATACTTTAAAATAGCATATTTATTTATATACATTTGGCACTAAATATGTTAATAAATAAATCTCTCCACCTTTTTTTTTTTTTTTTTTTTACTATTTTGAATAAAATAGATTATAGTTTTCTGGTACGTTAAATAAATTTCTAATCCTGCCTTGTACAAAATTATGAGGTCTAAAATATACCGAAGAACCATCACTGAATTTACCTTTTGCTTCACTTTGCTTCATTTATTTTGGGTAAACAAACTGTACTGATCCTCAGGCATTAATATTTAATGTTTTCATCTTTTTTTTCTTTAATAATTCATATCAGTGAATTATGCCTAAAGTTGGGGAAATTTTGTAGATTCAATACCATTACTAGCTTAAGTCAAAGATGCAGCTAGAGAAACTTCTATATACAAATAATGCAATATTTTTAAATAGGTTTTGTGTTGGTCTGTGACCATAATAAAGGTTGAAAATTTACATGTTTTATTCCTCTCATTTCTCTGAAAGTTAAAATGCCAATATACACATAGTATGTAAGAGCTATTATGGTATGAGCTACTCATACTGCATATGAATAATTCATATAAACAATAAAAGCATCACTAAATGAAAGGCTAAACATTTTAAAGTACAAATGAGACAGGATGAAAAGAAACCTGGAGGCAAAGATTTTGAATGTTACTATGTACTTTTTGATATTATGTATTGTGTACAGAGTCTGGTTTAACTGCTGCTGGCAAGTTTGCCATTTCAGTTACTCCTTAAATTAAAAGGAAAATTCCTTAGAAATAGACCATAATCCAGAGCATTAAACTTCTGGATTTGTGCATTCCCAGTCAAGTACTGAACTTTGGACACATATTAGTAATATAGTTTTTTACACAAAGTTTATGTGTCATTAAAATGTTAAAAGTGGTTTGTCGGACAGCATGAAAAACTACTGCTTCCGAAAGAAAGGGCCTCTTTTGTTAATGACATGTTTGTTCTCTGGATTGTAGCACTGGCTGTGTTTAAACAAATGGGTATCAATTATCCATATGTAAATAGAACACTCTAAAACATATGTGTATTAAACTCACCTATGTAATAAAGAAAAAAGGTATCTTTTCCCCGTTTAACTTAAATACAACTACCATATGTCCGTACTGATCAGTACTTAAATCCCTACAACAAATGTTATATTGCTAGCATACCCTTATGCTGCTGTGCGACACTTTCTCAAGTGCTTTTGCTAAGAACTGTCGAGTCTCTGTATACTGTCATGCCACAGAGAGAAGCCTAAGAGGGATGGGTGAAAGCACAATTTTTATAATTCAATGTATTATTGAATATTACTGAGATATTTATTAATCCCCCCATTACTATTATAAAACACCAGATAGGAAAAAGCCTTCAAATTACTTCCATGAAAGACAACTATTGGCTTCCTCCTAGAAAAAAACTGCAATTTTTTACTTTAAAAAGCCTGCCAGTTTTCTGCCAGAAAGATGTATGTTTTGAAGTGTGTTTACTACAATATTACATTGCCATAGTTTCCATAATCCTTTCATTATGCTTTATATCATATTGTTACAAGGGAGAAAAGAGCTGAAGTGTGCTAAGACACACCCAATAACAGCTTTTCTTTAAAGGCAGTCTTTAGTTTAAACAGAAGGAATGGAATGTCTGCAAGAATGTTACACAACCTGTTTTGATTCTTTTTTTTTGAGGGCAAGCGATAAGGATTTGGTTATTTTAGAAACTGGACTTTTAACAGGGAAACACATTTATATAGTTTCATAGATTCTTCCACTGTAGATTTCAATCTGTATATTGCAATGTAAAGCTAAATTTATGTGAAGTCTGCCTCTCTTGTGAAGACATTTAAAGCTGAAAACCAGAGGAGAGAAATAGGATGCTGAGCTTTACCTGTGAGCCAATTTGGTGTAGTGGCTAAGGCACCAGGCTAGAAACCTGGAGACTGGGAGTTCTAGTCCCACCTTAGGCAAGAAAGCTAACTGGGTGACTTTAGGCCAGTCAGTCTCTCTCAGCCAAATCACCTCACAGGGTGTTGTGTTGGGGAAAATGGGAGGAGAGAAGAATGTTAGGTTTGTTCACTGCCTTGAGTTATTTATAAAAATAATAATAAAGATTAAAACAAAATCTAAAAATAGATAAATTAATAGAAAAACACACACTTTAGCCTTGTTCTTCTATGGGAATTTCAATTTAGATCTCAGTATTTATGGGGGATATATTCTTTGTGCTTACATTAGAAACATACAAGAAAAAATAATCATTATTCAGAATATATGTGATAAATTTTGTTTGTTTTCTTAGGCTGCCACAAGGCAATTCCTATTTGAAATACTTTTAGTATTAATATCTGAAAGCCAAATATTACCAATACATAACAAGCATAACTAAGGATTACCTCCTAGAGAATATATAATGTGTTAAAAAACACAATGGTTAAAAAAACCCACTGTGGGTGTAAACTGTCAGTTTTAATTGCTTTCTTCCTGAGAAACTGCAAATACCAATTGTATATAGGTTGTCTCCACATTTAATATTGAACCACGTCCAACAGAAGTAAAAATAATGTTTCTACAGCACAGATTTGTATTACTTTACTTCTTCTGGAAGTAGAGAAATGAACTGGATGGCAATTTTTTTCAGTCTTTGATAGTAAATCAGCAACTGCACCTTTGCCTGATAATCATTTACTGTATGAAATTCATGGATGTGTGGAAACTATGAGTATAGGTACTCTCTTTCCCCCAAAATAAGACATCCCGATAATAAGCCCAATTGGCTTTTGAGCGCATGGCAATAAGGCCAAGAGCTTATTTCAGGGTTCAAAAAAATATAAGACAGGGTCTTAGTTTCGGGAAAACCCGGTAACAAAAGCTTCACAGAGAAGCATAGACAAATGAAGGAATGGAGTATATATACAAGAGATTAACAAATGAAATGAAGTAATAAACAGATGTGAAGAGCTCCATAATAGCACAGAGAAAAAAAGAATGAACAGGTTATAGGACTTTTAGATAAAAATCAGGAAAACCCGAGGTAATCTGTCAATACTGTTAAAGAAAATAATGGCAAAATTAGAAACAGAAATGCTGTACTGTATAATGGGCATGTACAGAGAAAAAGAAGGAAGGTTAGGGTAGAAAAGGGATCCTCAGAAGAAGCTGAGTTGTACAAAACTGTCCCTTTTACACATTTGTTAAAAATGTATTTTTTCATTCTCGAATATCTCGTTTAATATCTCGAAAAATCTAAATAATGCTTTGGAATGAAACATCATCAATATGTTGATGATTTCAAAGTCCATTTATTATTCGCACCTCAAAGATCAGACTGAAGTTAGTGATGTGCTAAGTGAGGCTAAAAAGCAAAGCAGCCAATTAGAAGGTATAGCTGGTAGACTGTCAGATTAACCAGCAATTATTTTTTCTATTTCTGATAAAATTGTACAAAACCAAATCTACAGTTTTTGGATACTTTTAGGCTAGATCCCTATGGCATAAACTGCATTTCAACACTTTCAACTTTGTATCAGCTGCATATCCTCCTGGCAATCACCAAACAAGTCTATTGCAAGGTCTCCTATGTGGGCCTCTTCATGAAGATTATGCAAACATGATCATTGGTGAAAATACAACAGTTAGCTAACCTAAACTGTCAACATTAGCCATACATAATCAATATTTAAAGAGCTCCATTTTTTTCCTTTTGTTTCTAGGTTTAACTGATTTGTGAACTGAAATGGACTTTTACTCTGGTACTTTCCAATGCAAACTTCCTACCAAAGAAACCAACTGCATGCAGAATTTTAGGTGGTTGGCTGGTAAAAAAAAATCATATTATTTTAACTAAGAAAGAGTACGATTGTTATTGCTACTACTGAATATTACTAAATAGTTATGTTGTCATTATTTTATTCTAGATCTATGGTGCCTTTACATGATTAAATTGCTGAATTTTGTTTGAATTTAGGAATGTTTATTGGTAGCAACAAAGTTTCTAAGTTACGAAGAAAGAAAAAGTACTTTTGTTGCACATTTTATATAAAGTGAGTCAAGGTATTACAAAACTCAGGTTTTTATTTTAAGTTTCAAAATGTTCAAAGTAATTTACAGCTAAGCCCTCTATTTGTTTATTTAGATATAAGAATTTCTGAATTAAATGGCACTTATCCTAAATAGATGCAGTAATATATTTGATGCTTTAGGCTTTAGAACAGATTGGTTAAAGGTAGATGAACTTAAGAAATGTTTTATGATATCCAAATATACCATTATAAAAATTAAAGTTGTATTAATATGCAAAATACCTGTATGGGTTCTTATATGTTTCTGCAAGTCTCCTGAAGTCTTGAATGACTTTGTGCAGTTTTCTTCTGAACATCTATAAGGCTTCTCTCCAGTATGAGTTCGGACATGACTCTTTAATCCATAACCTTGACAAAAATTGAATGATTTAAAATCTTTTATTCCATCTGTCTTTAATTTTCTATGAAATTCAATGATTTGCATATTTCTTTCACACCATTAAAGTAGTAAGCTTGCATTATTTATAAATCTTTAATTAAAATTTCCACTTAAAAAGAATTAACCCCCTACCTGTTGCAAATGCTTTTCCACAACCTGGATGATCACACTGATATGGCCGATCTCCTGTGTGTGATCTTTCATGTACCTGTTGAAAGGCAGAAATCATATATTTTGTAAAATGACTGTATATACAGAATGTAAAGAAAGTAAAAGCAAAAGTCAACTTGCCCATGCTGGCCAAAATGAATTAGAATGACCATATTATAATTTGAGTGATGTCTTATAAGGATCAAAAAATTGTTTCCATCACAACATGTATACATAGCATGTTTAATAGTTTGCAAAAACAATGTCATTCTTATAGCAATACTTTTAACACCTACCGGTAGTTAAAACTTTTGAAAGGAAAGTTAAAAGCACAGAAGCAGAGTTTCATTATTTATCTAAACTGGCAAAAGACTTTCTGTTAGAGAATTAGAGGAATTCTATGATTAGATTGCCTGACTCAGTCAAAAACCTCTCAAAATAGAAAAGTCACAATGTTTTTATCATTTGCAAACAATTCTTATACCAAAATGTCTATGTTAGGCCTAATACCTGTTATAAAATAAATATAAATGTGTGTATGGTATGGTATGGTATGGTATGGTATGGTATGGTATGGTATGGTATGGTATGGTATGGTATGGTATGGTATGTATGTATGTTATAATATATAACATTGTATTAAAATAATACATATTTAATATTTTCTATTTGAACTGTAGCCCATTCTCCATAGCAGCTAGGAAATTAAATTGATGTTAGCAATATTATTAGAAGTTTTATTTATTAAGTGTTTATAACTTAGCACTTAGAAGTACACTTAGAATTTATTTATTTATTTATATCTATTTTATTTATTTGTCGAGTACTATTAGATAATATATATATAAGTATAAGCATGAACTGAATACATAAAATGAATACAATTAAAGGGAACATTAGGATAGGGACGGTAGGCACGCTGGTGCTCTTATGCACGGCCCTTACAGACCTCTTAGGAATGGGCCTGTAAAAAGAGGTAAAATTTAAACTATCATGTCAGATGTTGACTGCATTTCTATCATTTTCAGATTTAATTGCAAAGAACAACTGGAAGATTTGAACAGTTTTTCAACAATAACCTTAAGGTGATGAGCAGTAGTGTACAATTTTCCACAGCCATCATAGTCACAGCGAAAAGCCTTATCTCCAGTTGACTGGGACTTAGTTGTTACTCTTGTGCCATGGCTCTGCAAGACAATCTAAATGGGAAGAAATGACAATATTAACATTTCAGTCATATCTAAAGTCTAGAAAAGGACCTGCATTAAAAAACAAGAGTACTTTAAAATGATACAATTCAAAATGTTTCCTACATCTCTTGGCACCTAAATATCAGTATTTTCCTAAAGATTTCTTCATCATTAATTTTAAGATCTTTTTAAAAAATTACATAAAGGTGCATTGCAATCAGACAGTATGAAGTACAAATAGGGATGTGTAATATTAGCTTTGAAGGGAAGAAGGTGCTTTGAAAAAAAAGGGCCCTCATATATAATCCATGGGCAATTGATTAAAAGTGCATTATTTCAAGAAAAGGCTTTTTCAACACTCACCTATATACCCTTCAAGTCTAAAGCTCTACCCAGCCCTCAAAGTGAATTGCGAATAAATCCTATTTTGAACTAGTCTAATTTTTTTAAATAGAGGTCTTACAAAGAAAAAAACCAGGCAGTTTATCAAAACTGCCTGGTCCTTTTTAAACTATAAATTAATTTATGTTAATAAAATTATATATAAAAAGAAACTCTTTTATAAGTATGTAAAATAGTTTGATACAATTTGGATATTTTATCAAACAAGGAGAAATAAAACTGACTCTAATGTCAGTTTTAGATTCTATATTACAGTACCCATATCACTTGGAAATACAGCACTTTCTTGTATCTGACTTCTAGGACACCTGAGAGTACAGTATTAAACAGAGCCATTGTAAATGTTTCTGGACAAGCAGGGCTGATCTTGTTGTCTCTCCATGTCCAGAATATGTTGTGTCAGAAATCATGGCTTGTTCATACCACAGAGACAGAATGGAACACCTATAATAATTTTAAGTATACCAATAAATAATAATTATTGGTAATAATTTACAGAGAACAAAAAATAATCAAAAGTGAATAATTAGCTCCCACACACCACACCCAGTCCTTTAAGAAAAATTAGGTTTCCACTAATGTCTCGAAGACCATTACTATGGAGGCCAACAGATCAGGAGGTTGTTCTAAACAGGTGGTGGCATAAGAAAATAAAACTAACAAAAATTGCTTACTGTTCTCAGCTCCTATCACCTCACAAAAATCAGCTGCTCCTTCCAGGAGGTTCTCAAAGAAGCCAACTCTTGTTCAAGTAAATAGCCCTAAAGGTACCTTGGCACCAAGTTTTATAGGTTTTTATAATTTAAATTAACATTTGGAACTGTATCCAGAAGACAAATGATAACTAATGCAGGGCCCACAAAATAAATCTGTAATATGATCACAGCAACAAATGCCATTTAATATAGCAAACCAACAGGTATACAGATCATGTGATTTGCTTTTACCTATATACTTTTTTGTAAATTTAATGTATATACCTACATTGTTATCTTAAGATGTGTCTTGTGTTAGGATGTGTTAGCACACATTAAATTTGGAATAGTGCGTCGGACAAAATTTAGATCAGAACCGAAAAAAATGATTATTTGCAATGTACAATTTTGAAATGAGAGAACTCCACACACATGAAAGGTACAGTTCTCACGTATAATACGTGCAGAGACTGTGTAACTCTCTAGGAAAGCTCACTTGTAGTTTTTTATTCATCTTGCAATAGAAAGATCCTTGGATCTTTCATCCTTGGATGAAATTTATTTATATCCATTTCAACCCTTTTCTGTAGTGAATGGACAAAATGATTTAACAGTACATGGAAAGGCATTCTGCACATTCTATACTTAGTATAACACATTTTTTATATGGTCAAGAATAGAATATTTATGTTAAATTTCTTTTTATACTGAGCAAGTCCCTTGGTGAACAAAACTAAGGATTTATTTTTATTCTAGTTTAAAAAAAACCAGAGGACAAATTAGATTATTATATACCTGCATTTTTTTATCTTGTTCACTGTCACCTATCATCCCAGTGCTACTAACGCTGTCACTTCCATCAATAGACACCTGCAAATAAAAAATAATAATAACTTTAAAATCTGCTTTGTGTTTGTTCACTTTCACAAAATTTTATTCTCTTATGAACTTTTCATCAACCTAATCAAATAATTTTACACAATAAATTAAGTAGATGATTTCCCATGGTTGTTTTAAATAACAATTAGGACATCCAAACTACAATTGGCTTAGGGGCTGTAGAGTAGGTAGTGCTGCATTGTCCACTGCAGTGTACACAACTGCAATCTATAATTATATAGTATAATTAATTATACTATATCTATGCAAACAAAGGCCAAGATCTCTTAAATATGCCTGGTAAATTTCTTAATATTAGTTTGAATGTAGACATATTCCTTCTGCTTATAGACAAGTCTTTCCTCAAGTGGAAGGTTTGTTGGGAAAACAGAAGTTACAGTTTTTGTCTATTTTCCATTATATTTGTCTAAGGATTCCATACTTCTAATTCCTAACAAGGATAATTCTGCTCCAGAGGAAAAAAAAGTATAGCACACCACTGTTGAAATTCCTAAAACCTTGTTATTTGTTATTAAAATCATCTTTAAAAATGTAACAATTTTAACATTCTTATCTCCAAGGAACTATATTACAGAACTGATTTATTGACATTAAAATATGTTATGAGCTGTGGTGGCGCAGTGGTTAGAATGCAGGCTACTTCTGCTGATTGCCTGCAGTTTGGCAGTTCGAGTCTCACTGGCTCAAGGTTGACCCAGCCTTCCATCCTTTTGAGGTCAGTAAAATGAGGACCTAGATTGTTGGGGGCAATATGCTCTGTAAACTGCTTAGAGAGGGCTGTAAAGCACTGTGAAGCAGTATCTAAGTCTTAAGTGCTATTGCTATTATTAATTTTCCTTACACGTGAATGATTTATGATCAGACTTATTTTCTCAAGATCGTTTTTGTTTGCTTCAAGTATAAAGTATAAAAACCAAAGATGCTATATTTTATTAATCATTTAATAACTGGTATATCCATTATGTCTGCATTTCTTTGACTGTACTTCTAATGGTTTGC